GACAGTCACCGCTTAATCGATTTCTCTTTTCATTCTGATCATTTATGTATACATTTGTCTATATCTATCTCGATTCGTTTTGCCTGTTACAAACAACCGTTATGTGAACAAAGTTATAATACCCTTGTGCACAAGTGCGCTCGGGTATAAAAAAAGAAAATGAAATGAAACACAACCAAGTGTATTAGTAGATAATAGCTATAATTTCAATTGGCTTTATTATCGAATAACTCAGTGGGTGTACAATATGATTACCTTTGAATATGTATCGCTGGGTGATGGCTGAAGTCGTCCGCTCTCCTTGATAGCTCGAATGAAGTGAAAAAATCCCGCTTTGACAAAGTTAAGTTTACCCGCCGGCAGCCAACTGCTCGGAGGGGAAACTTAACGAAATTATATTACAACGGGAAATAATACATGTATTGCTAACGGCGTAGCAATAAAGGTAGGCCGTATATATGCCTGAGTATGTTTGTGTGCTCGGCTCAAGTCAATGCACTTTTACATTAGGGTGGTTCGACTTTTAAATCATTTGGTTTTGCATGAAGGCCTAAACAGTATGTAATTTTTACAAGAATTAAATTCTTTAAAAAGGCATTGATTATACATATTTATAGTATAATGATATCTTATAAACCTAAGCTTAAGATTTTGCTTAAGCGGTTTTCACTGTACTTGTCAAATCCTGTGAGTTGAATTTAATTTTTTACCACCTCGTAGTATAAAAAATTCAGTCTGTATGGGAGACGCTACGAGCCCTCTTCCAATAACCCCCATTTTTGTCATGAGTATAGTTATGATTTCGCATATCTCAATGCTAAGTTCCTGTACTCTACCACAAATACTTTCTGAGGTATGAAAAATTCCGTTCGGTGCCCCGCCCCTTCTTAAAATCGAGATAAAAGCTATCTTAGCTTTTAAGTTGGTCTGAATGGCACCAGTTTCATTATGATTGGTTGAACAGTTAAAGCGTGAGACCGTACCAAACAGACCAAATCACTTTCACATTTATAATATTTGTAAAGATCATCCAGTACTGACCATTAAAATAATTTTTAGAGGTTTACACAGACCCAAATACACAAACTCAAAAAATTACACCAGGACATATACATTTATTTGGCTTTGATTGGTTGTGCTTAGAGATGAAACGAACGACAACTTGAAAGTAGTATCGATACCTGACAAATATCGGATATAAAGTATCGATATCTACTCATGTCGATAATTTTGGCTATGAAGGTATTCCTAACTAAATAACTTCAATTTTGTTTTTTATATCCTTTAATACTTTGAAAAAAGTACGAATTTTGTCTTATTAAAACCTTAAATTTATTTAAAAAATGGGCTTAAACATATTTCGATGTTTTTAAAGTAAAAAAATAAAATAATTTATTAATTTTTGTAATATTAATAAAAACTAGAGTGCCAGTTACTGCCGAAATTTGACAGTTTTTCTAGTTATTAGGAGCCTTGGAGAGGGTTTCTAACTTAACACGTAGCAAAACTTATACGGTACAAATTAACTTACCGGAACATCTTCTGCTTTGGAACTAAAACGAAACTAAA